GCTCCTGTGAGCGAGATGTCCCCTCTGTTTGGATATTGAGATAGCTGAGCACTGCTGCTGGAGACAAACCTCGGATGTGCTTTGGAGTTTGGTGCTGGAAGAGGGATTGTGTTGCAGTTATTATGTTGAGACAGACATGGCTCAGTCCTTTAGTAGCAAACCTACATGCCTTCTTCTCTTCTTTACTCAAAACTCTCACTCCTTCTTTCGTAGACTTCTCTCAGGTAACTCTGACTCCTTTTCTCATAGCAGCTTCATGCAGTACTGATTCCTTTTCTTACAGACAGTTCCACACAGCTCTGGCTCCTTCTCTCCTCTCGGCATGACTGGCTAACCTCAAGCTGTCCCTTACCTGGCTGCCTGACCCTGTCTCTCCCTCCCTCACATCTTCTCACCATATCTGCCCTTGCACGACCACATGTCCCTTACCTCCTCACAGCACAGCCAGCAGCCTCCTTCTCTTACTCCAGCAGACTCTGGGTCTTATTCTCATGCTCCAACTCAAACTGCAACTGCCTGTACCTGTGGCCAGCTAATTCACTCTTTTATATTCCCCAAACTGATTGGGCAGACACAAATGCTTCCACTCTTTGGTAATCAGTATAGCTGCAAGTCATTGGCAAAGATTCCCTCCTGCACTACCCTTTCAGCCTGGCTACCACAGGATTGCAGGAGCTGGGAGAGCAAGTGGGGTCACACTGGGGTGGGGGCTTAGATCAGTTTTTAGATTCTTCCTCCCCAGATTATTCCGTGATTCCTTGGCTGGTGTTGTACTGAGCTGAGGTTTGTCCTGCAGCACCTCGTTCTGTGCGGAACACGCCCGGCGGAACGCGCTGGCGCTCCAGGCTCAGGTGAAGAAATCCAACCCCGGGCCCGTGGGCGAGACCCTCCTGTGCCAGCTGAGCTCCTATGCCCGGGCAGAGCTGGGCTCGCAGAGCACAGAGAGCAGCCGGAGCGAGGCCAGCCGCATCCTGGGTAAGGACTGAGCCTGAGGCTTCAGGATTTCAGCTTTTGTGTTTTCAAATCCTGCACTTCAGATCCTTCAGATCAGTTAGCGTATAGGCCAGCCACATCCTGGGTAAGGACTGGACCTCATGCATTAATTAGGATTTTAGCCTTTATGTTTTCAAGTCCTGTAGTGCATCAGTGCATAACTCTGAACTCCATATGGGGTGTTAGTTAACTGTCTTTGCATTTTGGTCAGAGAAAACAATTCCTCTAGACCTGAAACTCAAGGACACCCTACAGTTTCAGGCCCTGAAAAGGATAAACAAAAGTGAATTGAGGGGAATAAACTGGGGGAATATGACTTCATTACCTGAAACTAATTGGAGGATTAACCCCTGATATGTAAATAGACCAAACTTACATGTGTCTGAAAAACTCGTGACCATCATCCATCTTGGGTGTAGCCTCTAGGAGGGTTTTGATGCCCAGGGTGTATCTATTGAAGGCCTTTGATAAATACTCACTTTATTCTCTTAACATTGTCTAGCCTCTGTTCTAGGCAGCCACTCCAAGGCATCAAACCCAAAGGCTGCTCTGTTCCTATGGGGGAAAGCCAGCAATACCCTTTCTTCAAGTGGGAAACAGATTCCATGGTCTGGGAGTAAAAGCTGGGGTTTTGTAAAGCCTGGTGTGTCTCACCTGCAGAGAAATCCTGCTGCCAGGCCCAGATCCTGCAGGTTTAACATGGAAATGTTAGTAAGGCTGCTAAGTAGTACCACTGAAACTCCTGGTGGTTCCTGGGAGGGCTGAAGCATCATTCCCAGTGTGTTATGGCTGTTCCAAGCTGGGAGGTTTCCCGTTGTTTACTGCTCCATGTCCCTCACTCAGAGTTTTGAGGTGGAGAGTTCCCTCTTAGTGTGAGGCAGAGCCAGTTCAGCTCCATGGGGCTGAGCTGCAGGGTGTCCCTGGTCATGCTGGCATGTGGGACAGTGTCCTGTGACTCCTGAGCTGTGTCTTGCAGACGAGGACAGCTGGAGTGACTGTGAGCAGGACCCTGTCACCGTGGAGCAGACATGGCGTGGGGACCCTGACAGCGAAGCTGACAGCATTGACAGCGACCAGGAGGATCCCCTCAAGTAGGTTGGGGAGTTAAATCCATCTTCTATTTTGAGGGGGGCTCAGCCTGGAAAAAAGGCTTGGGGGGAACCTTTTCACAACTTGCTGACAGGAGGCTGCAGCAAAGTGAGGGTCAGGCTCTGCTCCAAAGAAACAAGGGACAGAACAAGGGGAAATGGCCTCGATCTGTGCCAGGGGAGGCTCAGATTTGACATCAGGAGGAATTCTTTCATGGGAAGAGTTGTCAGGCATTGGAATTGCCCTGGAAGGTGGTGGAGTCCCCATTCGTGGAGGTATCCAAGGAATGACTGGATGTGGCTCTCAGGGCTCTGATGGGGGTCGGTCACAGGTGGGACTCAATCCTGGAGAGCTTTTCCAATCTCTGTGATTCCATGGTGGCAGCTGCCTGCTACACACATGCTCCATATTCTGGGCCCACTGTGGCTCCAGGGGACAGTGGTTGTGTTAAAAACATGACAGTATCAGTGAATTTTCATAGATTTGTGCCCATGTGGTTTCTTGGCTGGGGATACTCTCAGGTCCTGGAGCTGGGATTTTCTGGGAAGCACTTGCTGCTCATCCTCTTTCAGGGTGGAGTAGATCCCCTGGTAGCTTCTCTGGGTGATCCCATCTCTTAGAAAAAAAAAAAAAAGCCTGAAATTGAGTATTTCAGCTCATCACTTGTTGATGGTGTAACTCAGAGTGTTCCCAATCACGTCACTGTTGTTTGTGGGGGGGAACAGCCCAGAGGAACCCCCACATAACAAAAATCTTGAGAGAGCCCCACAGATTGAGAGAATCAAGCCTTGAGGGTCTCCCAAATCCTTTGGGGAATCAGCCCTGAGGCACCCCCAAACCCTTTGGAAGAATAATCCTGAGAGACTTCCCCTAACCTTTGAGGGTTCATCCTTGAGAGACCCCCACACCCTTTGGGAGAACAGCCCCACGGAACCCCTCCACATTATTTGAGGTTTAGCCTGAAAGGATTTCTACATTCTTTGTGGCAACAACCCCAAGGGACCTCCATAGCCTGAGGGGATCAACCTTGAGGGACCCCCACACTCTGGGGGGAATCATCCCTGAGGGACCCCCACACTCTGAGGGGGATTAGCCCTGAGGGACCCCCACACCTTGAGGGGGATCATCCCTGAGGGACCCCCACACTCTGAGGGGGATTAGCCCTGAGGGACCCCCACACCTTGAGGGGGATCAGCCCTGAGGGACCCCCACACCTTTGGGGGTTCAGCCTTGAGAGACCCCCACACCCTTTGAGAGTTCATCCCCCAACTCTTCAGCAGAAAAAACCCATGGGATCCCCAGACCCTTCAGGAATCAACCCTGAGGGGCCCCCAGACCCTTTGGGAGGGTCAGTCTCCAGGGACCCCCCCAGACAGCCCCCGTTCCTGGGCCTTGCAGGCACGCTGGTGTGTACACGGCCGAGGAGGTGGCTCTGATCATGCGGGAGAAGCTGATCCGGCTCCAGTCCCTCTACATCGACCAGTTCAAGCGGCTCCAGCACCTGCTGAAGGAGAAGAAGCGCCGGTTCCTGCACAGCAGGAAGGGAGAGCACGAGGCCATCGGTGAGCCCAGACCTCCTGCCTGAGGGGATGCACAGAAATCTGCTAAAAAAGGGGGTTTAGGCCTTTGTAGAGGCAGATTTCAGAGCAGGGTAAGGGGAGGGTTCCACACTCAGAGCAGGTGTTGAGGGACTGGGGAAGTGGCTGGAGCACAAGGAGAAGGGTCTGGAGAACTGAGAGAGCTGGGGAGGGGCTGAGCCTGGAGTAAAGGGAGCTCAGGTGGGACCATCTCACTCTCTGTAACTCCCTGACAGGAGGGTGCAGCCAGGTGGGGATCAGGGATTCCCAGGAACAATGAGACGAGGAAATGGCCTCAAATTGTGCCAGGGGAGGTTTGGGCTGGATATCAAGAGGATTTCTGTATGGAAAAGGTGGTCAGGCATTGGAACTGCCCAGGGAGGTGGTGGAGTCCCGATTCCCAGAGGTGTTCAAGGGACAACTGGACATTGCACTCAGTGCTCTGGTCTGGTTGACAGGGTAGGGATCAGTCACAGGTTGGACTCTGATACTGGAGAGCTCTTCCAGCCTGAGTGATTCCATGATTCTGTGCTGGTCCTGTGCCCAGAGATCCATATCACTGGAGTTACAAAGCTTGTGCATTTCTTTGCTCTTCAGAGTTTGCAGCGTTGGCAGGAAATGAGCTATAATGTTAATTCTGAGACAAAAGTGCTTATTTTGTACTGGGATTTCCTGTTTTTTCCTTTTACGAACAAAATACATTCGTTCATAAGGCTCTTGGTGTGGACAGAAGTTGGTTCCAGTAACACCAGTGCTGCTGTACTGGCATATTCCTCCTTAGCAGGGATGCAGTTTTCCCTCTGCCTCTGCTGGCATTCTCCCTGTGCAGAATATGTTCTTGGAAGCAGGAATTCCCAGTTCAACAGAGGCAAAACCGAGTTGTGTAACTGATCCCCAGTATTGCAGAGCAAAGGACTCTTTTTTTCCAGCATCATCCTTTAATAGCTCATCCTGGAAAACGCCATAATTCAGCTCAGGCTCAAGTAAAAATAACCAGGACTTTGGTACATACCAATTTTGCAGAACTCTTTTTAGCAAACGAGTCAGAGAAAAGCAGATCCTGAGCTCTGCCCTGTAATTACACCAGGAATGCTGGCGGGAAGCTTCCAGAACTCACACAGGAGTGACCTGGAATTTGACAAGTTTCTATTCTGCTGCTGAAATCACAATGGACGGGAGTGGCTGAATTATTTTTTAAGGAGGTTTTAAAAATACCCTGGGCCCAAGTGTTCCTGGAGAGGTCAGGATAAATTTTGGGATGGAACCTGCACCGCCAGGCGTCACCCAAAGCTGCGCTTCTGGATGGAGCCCTCAAAGCCCTCGGTGGCTGATGGTGATGTCAAAAAAATTGGGCAAGGTGGTTGGAGATTCCTGACTCTTCCTTTATTCCTGCAGGGAGCAGCCTCCTGACAGGGCCAGAGGGGCTGATGGCCAAGGAGAGGGAGAACCTGAAGCGGCTCAAGTGCCTCCGGCGTTACCGGCAGCGCTACGGGGTGGAGGCTCTGCTGCACCGGCAGCTCCGCGAGCGCAGGGTCCTGGCCACCGACGGCGCGGCCCAGCAGGTCCGGGGGGACACCCTGCGTGGGCCTCTCCTCTTGTGTCTTTCTAGGAGTCACCCCAGGCCCTAGCAGATTGCCCTTCCTGCAAGGACAGCCACCCTCCTGGGTTTGTGGAGGCTTGTAGGAGCTCTCGGGTCTGCGGGAGGTCTTTGTGGCCACACCTTGCGTGCTGCGGGCAGTTTTGGGCTACTCGCAGCAAGAAAGACATTGAGGATCAAGTCCAGAGAAGGGAATGGAGCTGGGGAAGGGACTGGAGCACAAGATGGGTCTGGAAAACTCCTGAGGAGATGAAGGAGCTCAGGGTATTTGGAGGCTTGAGGATTTTTGGGAGCTCATGGGTGGTGGAAGCAAATGGGTTTGTCAAGGCTCTCACGTTTTTGGGAGCCCTTGGGTCTGAGTCTATTTCAGTGCCTAAAGGAGGGTTAATAAAAAGGAGGAGAAGAGCGAGTTTTAAATAGGCAGTGACAGGACAAGAGGGAATGGTTTTAAACTAAGAGATGAGAGGTTTAGATGGGATATTGGGAACAAATCCCTCCCTGTGAGGCGCTGGCACAGAGTGCCCAGAGAAGCTTTGGCTGCTCCATCCCTGGAAGTGCCCAAGACCTGGTCAGATGTGGCTTAGAGCAACCTGAGATAGTGGAAGGTGTCCTTGCCCATGGGAACAGGAACTTAAAGAGCTTTAAGGTCTGTCCCAACCCAAACCACTCCGTGATTTCAGGCACACACCACGCGCTCCAGCCAGCGCTGCTTGGCCTTTGTTGACGATGTGCGATGCTCCAACCCGTCCCTCCCGCTGACCCGGCACTGCCTCACACGTATCCTTTCATCCTGACACTCCTCCTGAGCGTTTGCCAGCAGTTTGCCCCATGGCTGTGCCTCCCTTTTCCCTCTCGGGCCCTGAATCAAGGCCATCGGTTTGCTGTAGCCGTTGGTTTCAAACAGGAGCCCAGAGGAAATGTCTCCCAGTCTGTTGGTGCTCCCATCCCATGGAACAGCCAATTCGTGTGGGAGCAACAAAGGGCTGGGCTCAGGGTGGTCCTGCCGTGGCCTCCTAAGTCTGGAGCATCCAAACAGGGTGGGCATTTCACTTGGAAGCAGAGAATCCAGGCAGGCTTGAGCTGTGAGGGATGTGCATGGATCCCCTCCAGGGATTTCACCTCCCTGAGCTGCCCTTCCAGTGTCAGACCACCCTTTCCATTGAAGAAATTCCTCTTGATGATTTCAGAAATTCCTGAACCTCCCCTGACAAAGCTTAAGGCTCTTCCCTCTTGTCCTGTCCCTTATTCCCTGGGAGCAGAGCCTATCCCCCACCTGAGGACACACACACCAGAGCACGGCCTTGAGGATTTTTGGGAGGGTGGTTCCGAGCCTGTTTGGAGCTGCTGTGGCCCAGCTCAGTCTCTGTGACCCTTCAAAAGGTTCTTGTGTGTGTGTGAACAGCCAGTTCCACTTCCCAAATCAGCTTCAGCTGTTGTAGAGCTGGCACTAAAAGTTCCACTGGGATCCCCCAGCTCAGGGATGGGCCCCAGTATGAGATCAAGGATCCAGTCCCCAGCTCAGGGATGTTCCCCAATATGGGATCAAGGATTCCCCAGCTGAAGGATGGCCCCCAGTATGGGATAAAGGATTCCCCAGCTCAGAGATGGCCCCCAGTATGGGATCAAGGATTCCCGAGCTCAGAGATGGTCCCCAGTATGGGAGCCATGACCCCAGCATTGCCCTGGGTGCATCTGCTCCCTCCACTCCTGTGGGAGTGGGTGGATGTGTCCAGGTTTGGATTGTGTTGGAGCTGCAGGAGGGAGCAGTGGAGTGAGTCAGGACAAGTTCTGGCGCTGGGTCCCAGGGCTGGGTCAGGAGGAGCTTCTGGATCTGTGGGAGATCTTGGATTTGTGGGATGTGCTGGGTTTATGTGAGCTCTTGGGTTTATCAGAGTTCCTGGGTCTGTGGGAATTCTAGATTTGTGGGAGCTCCTGGGTCTGCATGAGCTCGTGAGTTTTTGGGAGCTCTTAGGTCTTGAGGAGCTTTCAGATTTCTTGAGAGATTCTGAATTTTTGAGAGCCCCTGGGTTTGCTTTGTCCCTGGAGTTGTCCGACACGCTCAGCCTTGCACAGGGAGCAGGAGCTGGAAGCTGCCTTTGTTTCTCTCCAACCACCACAGACCTTAAAATAAAGACAGGAGAAATCCCATAAAACAGCCAGAGAAGCTGCTGTTGGCAGCTGGTGCTCCCGGGAGGGAGGGGAAGAGCTGGGTCTGGCAGGAGCTCTCAGCTGACTCTCACTGACACAAACAAGCTTTTCCTCGGGCAGCTGATAACATCTGATAACATCTGTGGCTTTTCGGGAGGCTCTTGGGCTCTGTTTGCTTCCAGGAGCTGGATTGTTTGTGACAGGGCACCGAAGGGATGGGGAAAGGCTGGGAGGCTCCAGATGGAGCCTGGGATTTTTGTCCTCTTGGCAATCTGTGCTTTTGGCTACCAGTAAAGTCGGTGCTGGAGCTGGGAATTGCTCCAGGAGATGAAAATCTGCCTTCCCCACCCCCTGTTCCTTCACCACATCTTCCTTTGAGTGTCCTAGGTCCTTCTCTCTTGGGCTGGGCTCTGGCACTGCTGCCAGGCTGGATTATGCTTCCCACAGCCTGCTGGGAAGTGGATTCCTGAGAAATCCTTGGAGTAGGGAGGAGGGAAGAGTGAATCTCAAACCTAGACAGCTTAAGAAATTGGCTTAAACTTGGTGTCTTTTCCCAGTTTTATGTGGGTTTGAGATTTTTTTCCCCACTGGTGTGTGTGAGGAAATTGCAGTTGGGATGATCATGTTTGGAAGGGGATGGAAGAGGAGGAAGGGGTTGGAAGAAAAGAATGGAGATCAGAAGAGGAGAAAGAGGGATGGAAGAGGAGGAGGAAGGGATTGGAAGAAGAGATAGGAAGAAGTTTATGGGGTTTGAAAAAGAAAGGGGTGGGAAGAAGAGAAAGAGATGGAAAGAGGAGGAATGGAGTCAGAAGAGAGTGGAGTTGGAAGAGGAGGAAGGGGTTGGCAGAGGAAGATGGAATCAAAATGGGGCTTGGAAGAAGGGGATGGGTGTGGGAAGAGGAGGAAGGAGTGGGAAGAGGAGGAAAGGCTTGGAAGGTGATGAGTTCAGAGCAGGCTGGGTTTTGAGCTGTAGCTCCTCTGCCTCTGGATCACTCTGCTAGTGTGATGCAATTGAAGCAGAGTTTCTGTTTGGGATTAAAGGCAGGAAATCCCATTTACACCTCTGGCAGGAACAGGTTTTCCATTGGGAAGGAAAATGCAGTGGGATGATAGAAATACCATAACTGAACTGCTGGCTTTGGAAAAGACATTGTGTGTGCTGGGATCTCCCTGCCTGTGGGGCTGGAGCTCATCGTTTTCCATGGATGTCTGCAAACAAAAGTTAATCCTGTGCCTTTGTGACATCCAGCTGAGTGTCTGTGAGTGGTTTCCAGGGATCCAGTCACATCTCCCAGCCCCCACGGAGAGGGGGCTGTGGCTGTTGTCCCAGTTTTCCATCATGGAAATTATGTCACCCACATCCCTGGGCAGTTGGGGTGCAGCTCTAGGCTCTGGATTCCTGGTCTGGGAGAAATGGGGGTGGCTTTAACACCATTTGTGGGGGGAATTGGGAGCATTTCTCAGCATTCATCCCTCTGCATGTGTCTCTGGCTGTACCTCTGCTGCTTTCCTTGACCTGCTCTTCCCAGATATCTGCCAGGATACAAACCAGACGCTCTTCAAGCCATGCCAGGGCTCAGAGGAAGTTCCCTGCAACAAGCCTGTGCCCGTGAGCCTGTCTGAGGAGCCCTGCTGCCCCCTGCACCTCCGCCTGCCCCCACAGATGTACGTCCCAGAGCAGGTCCTGGCTGTCCCCCAGGAGCTGGGAGCTGCTCCCACGGATCTGTACCTGAGTGCAGCCGAGCTCCAGCCCACGGAGAGTTTGCCCCTGGAATTCAGTGATGTAAGTGGTGGGAAAGCTGCTCCTCTGCCCACCTGAGAACCCTCCTGGAATGCTGCATCCAGGTCTGGGATCCTCAGCACAGGAAGAGCTGCTGGAGCGAGGCCAAAGGAGATGCTCCAAGGGCTGGAACAGCTTTGGAGCCAGGTTGGGAAAGATGGGGATGTCCAGCCTGGAGAAGGATCCAGGGACACCCTAGAGCCCCTTGCAGAGCCTGCAGAGAGCTGGAGAGGGACTTGGGACAAAGGATGGAGTGCCAGGACAAGGGGAAATGGCTTCCACTGCCAGAGGCAGGGTTAAATGAGATAGTAAGAAGGAGTTCCTGTGAGGCTGGGGAGGCCCTGGCACAGGGTGCCCGGAGAAACTGGGGCTGCTGCTGGATCCCTGGAAGTGTCCAAAGCCAGGCTGGACAGGGCTTGGAGCAGCCTGGGACAGTGGAAGGTGTCCCTGCCCATGGCAGGGGTGGAACTGGATGATCTTTACGTGCCCTCCCAATCCAAAGCGTCCTGGGATTCTGTGCAAATGCAGGAATGCAGAAGGTTTAGGAGCTATTCCATGCCTGGTGGCTTCTCCTTTGGGATGGCTGTGCTCATTTAAATCCCTTTAGGGGCCTCTTCAAAAGAGGATTTTTCCCCCCACAGCCCCATTTTCTCTCACATGAGGAAAACAGGAAGATTTTAATCCCTAGATTATTGTGGCATCACGCTGCATTTCAGCCAACACGCTTCAGAGCCTGAGGAATGCATTGAGGCAAAACCAAAGCCCCAGGATCCATGGGAGCCGCTCCTGTGAGCGAGATGTCCCCTCTGTTTGGATATTGAGATAGCTGAGCACTGCTGCTGGAGACAAACCTCGGATGTGCTTTGGAGTTTGGTGGAGGAAGAGGGATTGCAGCAGCAGGAGCTGGGAGAGCAAGCGGGGTCAGGCTGAGGGGGCTCAGATCAGATCCCAGCCCCTTTCTGTGCGAACAGGAGGTGGATTTTTTGGGTTAGAAAGGAAAAACAAGGCTGTTTCCCCTCTTCCTGTCCTTTGAGAGGGTTTCGAGCTCCCTCTGGAGCGCTGCAGATTCGTGGAAGCTGCCGGGGGCATCTGTGTTGTGTCTCACATCGTGCCAAGCTGGGGAAGTGCCACTCGTGAGTCACGGGAATCTCGCCCTCGTGTCAAACCCCCTTTGGAGCCAAAACAAATCCCAGCCTCTCCTGAATCCCAGCCTCTCGTCAGGGAGGGCAGATGGAGGAGTCCTCAGAGCCTGTCCATCCCCATCTGTGGTGTCAGGGCAAGCAAAGGAGGTGTGACCTCCTAGGAGAGGGTGGGGATGTTCCAGGTGTCCTCTGGAATGTATGTGACATTCTGGAGAGCAGGGATTGCTTTGGGGGTCCCCAGAAAGGTGTGACTGGGCTCTTTCAAAGCCATTCCAGGTGCTGGAGGGACACTTTGGGGACCACACGTCACACTGGGCTCCAGGTGGTGTGTCCCACACCTTGTCCTCAGCAGTGCCAGCTGGGATCGTGGCATTCCAGGAGAAAGGAGGAGAGGGTTCCTGGGGTGTGTTCCTGGCTGCTGGCCAGAGGCCCCACTGGCATGGTGCCACTCCTCCTCCTCCCTGCCTTTCTCATCCCTTTCCTGCTGCTTCAGAGGATTGGAGTCTACTCAGACCCCTCCTGATGAGCTGCTCCACTGTTCTCCCTGCCAGGACCTGGACGTGGTGGGTGATGGGATGCAGTGCCCCCCATCCCCTCTGCTCTTTGACCCTTCTGTGACCCTCGATCCGTCCCTGCGGGACATGGCCGAGGCTCCCATCGACATCCTGGCGCTGGAGGAGCCGGACAGGGGCAGCTCCTCCACCCCTGCGGCCGAGGGTCCTGCGCAGGTAGGGCTGGGTGGGACTGGTCCCCTCCCCGCTCTGGGATGGGCTTTTCCCAGCAGGAAACCCCTCCTCTTCCTCCCCACAGGCCCGGGGGGCTCCTCTCCCACCACTCTCTCACACAAGAGGCTCCAGAGCCTGGGTGTGCCCATGCTCTGGATGGCATTAGGAGTGCCAGGGTGGGGTGGCAGCCAGAGGCCAGCCCCCGAAGTGGCTCCGTGGGTGGCTCAGTGCCATCCTTGTCCTGGGGATGGATGTCCTGGGAATGTCTGGGACATTGGGGATGTCTGAGCAGCGGGGTTGCCTGCTGTTCAAACTTCTTAATCCCAGCTGGAGGGTTTTAGGGGAGTTGTTTCCCAGGCCAGGAGTTCGCCTTTTTTCCTTGAAGTCTTACTTTTCACTGGAATAATTGAAATTTGCTCTTGTTGTCCTGCTTGGAGCCTGGGGCTTCTTTGGGGTGTCCCCACAGGGGTAGGTGATACCACCCACTCCTCTGTCCTGCCTTCCCTGTCCTGCCTCCTGGGGTGAAAGCTGGGTTTTGGGGTGGGGGGGCCACAGCCTAGGCTCTGACTGAAGACCCCCAGTTTGCTGTAGCTGTTGGTTTCAAACAGGAGCCCAGAGGAAATGTCTCCCGGTCTGTTGGTGCTCCAGTCCCATGGAGTGACCAATTCGTGTGGGAGCAACACTGTCCCAGGCTGTGTCACACCATGGCCAACACTGTCCCTGTCCTGTCCCCTGCAGAGTCACCTCCCGTACCAGCCAGGGCCCCGGGATGAGCAGCATCCAGAGGAAACAGCCCCGTCCACCCCGGCCCGGGGAGCGGCTGCCAACGGGAGCCTGGAACCGGGGGCCGTGAGCTGAGCCCGGCAGCACCGGGGTCCCCACACCCAGGGGACCCTCAGTGTGGGATTTGGGGGCACTCGGGTGCTGGAGTGCCAGGATGAGCTGCAGCTCTGGCTCCTCCACTGATTCCTGGAGCTACAGGGACCCCTGAAACCCCAGGTGGGGTCTCCAGATCTTCACGTCCTCTGCGGGGATGGAGCCACGGAGTGGGGAGGGAAGTCGCGGAAGTTCTGGGATCCTTCGCCGCACCCTGATGTGCCCTGGGGGGGGATGATGTGGCCCTGTCATGTTTTGGGGGGAACAGAGGTTCCGTCCCACGAGGTCCCCCACAATAAAGTGTTGGCGGTGGATGCTCGGTGTCCCTGTGTCGTGTGGATGAGCCCAAAGACTGGGGGTGTCCCGGGGTGCCCTGGGGGGCTGGGTGTCCTTCCGGGGAGGGGTCCCTGCTGCTGCCACACCCCGACTCCTGCTGCCGGGGGGGGGGCGGCCCTTGGGGGTCACCCTTTATTTCAGTCTCGGCTGCCGTGGCGGAGGGGACACACCTGGGGGGGCTCCGTGGGGTGCGGGTCGGGCCGGTCCCATCCCGGGGCAGCCGCCATTGGATGCTCGGTACCGATTCCCGCCGGGAGGAAAGTGGG